ACACCAGCTGCTGTCCCTCCCTCACATCTTAACTTGGCTACTAGCTAAAGGTGTATTTGAAGGGTAAGTGGAGCCCACAGTGTGTCTATGTGGAGATAGAAACCATGAAATGGGATATGACATGGAGCCCAGTGTGGTAGTGCACGTCTGTGGTCCCAGCATCAGGAGACGAAAGCAGGAAGATTACTGCAAGTTTCATGACAGCCAGCACCTCAAAAACCAAATTAAAAGGGAGGGTATAGTAGGAAGGCGGGAAGGTGAAAAGGAAAGAAATGACAAGAGAAAGGAAAGGGAAAATAGATGGGCTGCAGCGTGGGTAAAACAGCAGAGCTTCTGCATGAGTTTGTCATTTTGCAATTTTTTAAATGCTGTATTACTTTTATGGTTGTTGTGTGTGCACGTGTACGTGTGTTCATACCAATGTGTGCCACTCTGCACTTGTGAAGGTCAGAGGACAACCTGCAGGAGTAGATTCTCCCCTTCCACCATGGGGATCAAATTTAGGCTGTCTGTGGCAAGTGTCTTTACCTGTTGAGCCATCTCGCCAACCTCTTTGCTTTATTTTTGCTTCTGAAATTGATGCAGAGAGTATTTAAGAGGTTTGTTGCTAGAGTCACCCCTGTGACTGCAAAAGTTAAAATGATATTCTTAGCAGGATGGCTTCCCTGAGGCTTTCCTAGGGCATCTTCCTGACCCTGGGGATGCTGTGGTGAGGTCAGGCAGTGTGGTCTTCCACCCGGTCAGGCAACTCTGTCAGAGTATACACATTGGTCATTGATCTACAACGACAGCAAGGCCTGGGCTATATCTAGGGATCTACCCCCATTTTATAGAAGAAGAACCCGAGACCCAGAGAATGGCAGGCCTGAGAACACAGCAGCAGCAGCAACAGAACAGAGATTCACCCGGTTCTCAGCCCAGTGACTCAGTTCTTCACTCTGCCCAATTACCCTGCTCAGAAATGGCCAGAATTTTTCCTTCCCTCCGGCACTAAACAGACTGAGCTAGACACACACCCTCTCATGACAAGTAGGGACCCATGCTGGATGACATCCTGTAGAACAGCCATTCCACCCATCTGCCTGATCGTGCAAGCAAGCTCCTTTCACTCCGGCACCACAGCCACTCCCGGGACTTTCAGAGATGATTCCTCAGAAACGTGGCCCCATCCTTACTCAAGATGGGCAAGGCATGCTGGCACAGGTTTTTAGGCCAAAGCAGGGTGAATCACCTAAAGGGCAAGGTCCTCAGCTTCCTCTCCCTTTAGACATAGCCTTGGGATCCCCAGGAGAAAGAACAGGCAGGTAGAGAGAGACCAGAGTAGAGAGACAGTCACTTGCTTGTACTTCAGGGTAGGGAGGAACTGCCTGGCACCACCTTCAGGAAAGCGGAAAAGGTTATGACCTTGGATAGAGTTCCGAGTCCCGAAGACACAAGAGCCTAGCCTCAAAAAATGGAAGCCAGAGGAGAAATGCCACCCTGGAAGGGGCAGGTGGTGGGCAGGGATGAAAGTCTGGTGCTCTTCCACTGGTCTGAGTCTTGTAAGATTCCTGTTCCCCACCCCACTCCTGCTCTTCTTCGCATTCAAAGCGAGTCATTTCTGTCACCTTGGCAGAGAGTCTGAGGGACAGAAAAATAGCAAAGGGTTAAGGACAGTTCCAGAGGCAGGATTCGAACCTGGTTACCTCCTCACTCCTCTACTGCCCAGAATTTCTGAGTGCTAACAGTAGCAAAGGGGCCCTTCCTCTGTGTCATTTTAAATGCCTAAATATGCAATAGTATACATAAGCATGAAAGTTCATAAATCTACATGATCCACATTGTAATATCTGAGTGCTGTTATGGGAATATGAAATGTCAAATTCTTAAAATGCCTTTTCTCATTCTCTGGTGCTGGTGGCCTGGGCGGGGTGTTCTTTCTGCTCACTGGGAATTTAGATCTGCTAAGCCGCTGAAGAGGCCAGAACTTCCCCTCTGATGACCCCTGAACCCGCCTCTGCCTCAACTTGTTGCCAGAGTACCAGGCAATGCCGCTCAGCCAGGAAACAGGGGCCCCGCCATACAACTTCCCCTCCTCCCTGCTGTCCCAGAACCTCAGCCAACTCCCTGATAAAGTCTGGGCGGGTTTATGGGGAGAGAAACAAGGGAGCGCCAGCAGGGCTGACCTGTGACCTGGTCTCTTGAAAGTCATTGGTCCAGTTAAAGGGCTTCCCTCTAAAGTCCTCTTTCCAGCCTCACCAAGGGAAAGGGGAGCGGCAAGGAAGAGAACCTGAACTTGGCTGACATGAGGCCAATACCTGGGAGCAGCCCCTGAGCAGACACAGAGGCACAGGTGGGCTGTATGCCAAAAGCCTGTGGTTAATTTTCCCTGCTCACCAATGAAACCAGTGCTTGCTGGGCATTTACTACGTGCCTGGCACCGAGCCAGATGTGCAGTGCTTTATTTATATTTATTTGTGAGATAGTGTCTTACCCTGTAGCTCTAGATGGCCTTGAACTCACTACCCAAGCTGGTCTTGAGCCAAAGGCCTCCTGAGTGCTAGGATCACAAGCATGTACTACTATACTCTGAACAATTTTGCCTGTAGTCCTTGTGGGGATCCTGTGGGGAAAACAACAACAACCAAAAAAACCAAGGCTCCAAGATGTTCTGTGTCTGTTACCAAGTAGGATCAGGGTTAGAAATATTCTCTAGCTCAAGTCCTGTGAGCAACACATGATTTTCTTGATGGAGACGCTCAAACCCCTTGCATCCCGTATGTGTCTGAAAATGACATGCATTTACAAAGGCAAAGGAGAAAACCAGAGTGCTAATGCTAACCCACCCGCAGAGAAACAGCAAGGCTGGTTTGCGAAGGGGTCAGCTGTCCAGAACCAGGGCTCCTTACAGAAAGCCTCTGTTTATTAAAGTCTTACAGTTGAGGTCGCTAAAGGTGGATGCAAATGTTTAGTTTGCTTGCTTTGCTTTGCTTTGTTGGTTTTTTTAAAATTATTTTTATCATATTTTCATTTATATTGTGGATTTCTTTGTTTTATTTTGTTACTGGTTTTTGAGACAGGGTTTCTCTGTGTAGCCCTGGCTGTCCTGGAACTCACTTTGTAGACCAGGCTGACTTCGAACTCAGAGAACTCTGCCTGCCTCTGCCTCCTGAGTGCTGGGATTAAAGATGTGCACTACCACCTGGTTTGTTTGGGTTTCTAAAAAACATTCCTTTTATGTATATGCACACATGTGCCTGTTCACTACAAGCCTGGAGAAGCTCCCAGAGGTCAGAAAGGGGCACCATGTTCCCTGGAACTGGAGTTATAGGTGGTGTGGACCACCATGTGGGCACTGAGAACAGAACCTCAGTCCTCTGCAAGAGTAAATAAATATAGCAAAGAAAGGTGAGGATAAGAGAACAAGGAAATCAGAAAATTATTTCTGTATAGATAAGCCAGCAAAAAAGATATTGGATCTGGTTGTGCTGGCACATTCCTTTAATCCTAGCACACAAAAGGCAGAGAGGCCGGCCAGACTTGTGTGAGTTCAAGGTCAACCTTGTCTACTGTAAACTCTGGGTGAGGCAGAGCTGCGTAGTGAGACCCTGACCCAAAATAAACAAAAATTCAAGACACTGTACGTTAGAGTCAAGAAGTTGAAGGTCTGGGGTTGAGGTTCAGTGGATAGAATGCTTGCCTAGCATGAACAACAACCTGTATTCAATCCTCAACACTACACACACACCAGCTGTGGTGATGTGTGCCTGTAATCCCTGCCCTCAGGAGGTGAAGGCAGGAAAATGAGGTCATTTATCTTCATTCAGGGTCATTCTGGCCAACAGGGGAAGTTCAAGGCCAGATAAATGAGACTCAAGAAGGAAGAAAATGAGAGAGGAAGGAGGGACTTGTTTTTCATATCCAAGGTATGGTTTATGGGGTTCATCAATGCTCTGGGCAAGTAGGAAGCCAAGTGTACCAGCTCCCCAAAAGATAGAACTAGTGGTGGGTGAGGATAATGAGTCACCCTCTTCTCTCAGCTGGGAGACCCTCATCTGTGCATGTGAGGGCATTCAGGCAATAAAAGGCCAGGGGATCATGGGACATTATCCAATTATGTTCACTTTACCTCTGGGGAAGTTGCAGATTTCTAATTCAAAATATACATCTCTAGAAAGTCATTTTTTTATATGGGGTAAAAGGTAGATGGTGAGTATATTTGATGTCAAAGGGACTTCAGACTTTAGCATCTTTACCTTTGGAGAGGAGAATTAAAAAGAAGGTAAGATCAGCGGGAAAATTTTATGCAAGACCAAGCAGGGCAGAACCAGCAGTCTACAGCTCCTAGAGCTCTTAGATATTTCAAAGCAAATGTGATGCATGTGGATGGGGTACACATGCACAGCGCATACCCTAAGTGCTCCGTGGGGGGTGGGGGGCTCCTCTGGTGTGGCAGGTGCCTTTAAAGTGCTTTGGGCTAGTCCTCATAAAAGGATAGTTCTTAATAATAACTCCTCTGTAGCTGAGAAATGGGCACTTGAAAGACAAGCAGCTGACTGACAGAGGATGAGGCTCACTTGGTGGGGTGATAAAGCACTGAGAAGGCCCCATAAACAACACCTTGGGTGTGAAAATCCCTCCTTCCCTCCTCACTCCCTCATTTTCTTCCTTCTTGGGTCTCCGTCATTCCAGGCTGGCCTTGAACTCCCTATGTAGGTAAGAAGTAACTTGAAAGATGGAAATCAAATCTAGAACAGCCCGCCTCCAACGCCCATCAGTGTCCAGCACACTCTGTTGGATTTCTGACAATGCCAGAAGATTATAAGAAAGCCGGATGTTGGGATATATTGAGAGCCTGCCTGCAAGCCTCTAGCTAGTTGTGATGGTCTTTTGACTTTAATCACAGAATTTTTTTCTGCTATAGTTTACAAATATTCTCAGGACAGGAGGGGAATCTGGCCAGGATGTAAGTGCCTCAGACCTTTGGGTGCAAGGATGCCGCATGTTCCTCTTTCCCTCAGGCGTTCCTGGAGAAGTACGGGTACTTCAGCGAGCGGGGCTCCAAAGCTGCGGCCTCCACTCAGTTCAGCAATGCCATCAGGTATGATGGAGGGATGTGAAGGGGTGCGAGATACATAGCTCCAGCTTTGCCCCACCTCCCGCTGTAGTCCTTTCTCTCCATTTTTCCTGACAGAGAGTTCCAGTGGGTGTCGCAGCTGCCCGTCAGTGGTGTGCTGGACCAGGCCACACTGCATCAGATGACACGTCCACGCTGTGGGGTCGCAGACACTGACAGTCATGCAGCTTGGGCAGAGAGGATCAGTGCCCTGTTTGCTGGGCACCGGGCCAAAATGAGACGTAAGAAACGCTTTGCAAAGCCAGGTGAGTGCACTGAAATCCAATTAGGCTGGGATTCCCTGGTGCCCCGAAGAGCCTGTGGCCAAGAAGTGTGACCAAATTGAACAGGAATTTTGAGAGAATCCTCTCTTACCTCTGGCAGAAGAGGGGCAGATCTTTTGGCTAAGGATTATAATCATGAATACAGATATTTAACTCTAAATTATACTTGCATTGATGAATTTTCATTGTACATGTATTCTCCAGATTAAACCCCATCAAGCCCACTTAATTCTCCAATCAATATTCTACACAGGGCAGTTAAACAGTTGTCAATGGTTCTTGTTCATATTTTATTGAAGTTATTTCCATAAGAATTGAGACTTTTCATAACACTTATTCAACCAAGATGTGATCTGTCGATGAGTTTTATTTTGTTCATAGCACCTTTAAAAAAAAAAACAAGTTTTATTTAGATGGAATTCGCTTGCCGTGCAATTTACCACTTAGAGTATCCCATTCTTCTAAAAAGAAGGGTTTATTTTATTTGTAGGATTGTGCAACCATTACCACAAGCTAATTCCTCTTTCCAGAACATTTCCATTGTCCTCTGAAGAAACCCCATGCCTGTTATCAGTTAGCTCCCTATTGTACCCTGCTGCCAGTCCTGGCCACCACTAATCTTTGTGTCACAGGGGACCCGTCCATATTAAACATCTCATCACAATCCAGTGTATGCTCTGTACAGTTTCTCCTGTTGGGTTTTTCCTTTTCTTCTCTTTCCCTCCCCTCTTCTCCCTTCTTGCTCCTTTCTTTCCAGTACTGGGACTGGAACCCAGGGCCAAGGAGGATGCCACTGACCTACATCAAAAAATTTCTCCTCTCCCTCTTCCTTGTCTCCCTCCTCCTCCTTCTCTCTCTTCTTCTTCCTTCTTCTCCCCCCCCTCAAATATTCCAGGGCCATTGCTCCCTGTCTACAATTATGAATTACTATTATGAATATTGGATGCTTCTGTCAGTTTTCCGCAAATAATAAGTTTTGATATGTGAAATTTTGGTACCATGATTGCTTTGACTAAGACAGTTTTTCTTTGCTCAATTTTTGCAGCTTTCAAGGTTGTTCACAAGATAAGGTTTTTCTGTCAGGTTTTCAAGTATAATTTTACTGTGCACACGTTGAATGGTGGCCACTTTCATTTGTGCTGCTTTTACTCACCTCACTCACTGAACACATGATTGAATATCCAGAATTTGCTTTCATTTCTTAGTTGATGGCTAAGGAACTTGTGGGCAGCTGCAGGGTGGCTGTTCCCAAGCATGTGCTAGGCCGTTCCTGCTGCATTCACTTGTCCATCCCTCCTGACTGCCCTGTTCTGAATGACCGTATTCATCCACAGTCAGCTCTGGGGTCAAGGTGTCCCAGGTGTCAGCATGCTGTCCATCCCATTGTGTTTCTAGGCAGCAGAGAAGAGTGAAGTAGGAAAGGGGAAGGACACACTCACAACAGGCCAGAACAGAAAGACCATGACCCGGGAACACAAGGCACTGGGTTCAGGCATCAGCTGTCATGACCAAGTCATGTCACTTGGTTCTGATCCCTCATCCTCCTTCATGTAGGAGTCAGACTTTCTTAGGTTGCAAAGGAGAGCTCTCTGGGATTACTGAACGCAAGAGGCCTGTGAGAATGTGGTGGGAAGTGAGCAGGCCCAGAAACACTAGAGCCTGAGCTCTGGGGATGCTTCCTTCTGGCTGCAGCCCATCTTCTGCCCCAAGGGAGCATCTAACTGAGTGCATTCATAGCTAACAGTGTGGAGTATCTGACTGCCAGATAAATTCGAATGTCAGATAAACAATAAGGAATTGTATTTATATTTTCTTATTGAAATTTGTCTGGGCATCCTGGATTCATATGTGTGCATCTGCCAATCTCAGGTCGAGCACCTGATCCTGCAGGGCTGATTTCTCAGCCTCCTGTTTCTTCACAGAGTTGGTGGGTGGGGGGGGGGTGCTGGGCGGTGCACCTGAGTTGAAAAAGGAGGTGAAAGCAAATGTGCATGTTCTCAGCCCCCAGCACATTCCAGGCAACTTCCCAATGTTATTCCGAAAGGTAAGCCTCATCGACTCCACTATACAGAGGGGGAACGGAGGCTTGGAGAGATTCCACAATTCCTGCGAGCTTGTACATTCAGGACTGCGATTTCAGCCTATACCCTGTGCTGTCATCAGTTTCCTGCTGGGCATCAGGACTCCACAGTCCTTCTAGCCCACACTTCTAGCTTTTCTGTCCCTGTCCTCCTTAGTGCCTTCCTTTGCCTCTTCCCACTGGGACCCTGGAGAGAGGACATAGAGGGCAATACCACATGCAGGGAGGGGGGCCTTCAGTTACTATGGAAAGCAGCCCTGCATGGGCTGGATTTGGGATTAGGGCCAGAAACAGCCAGCCTTCTCCTGGGGTGCCAAGGTAGAGGGTTAGTACTGCCCCTACCCAAACACACAGGCAGTTCCTTCCTTCCTGGTCTCTCCCAAGAAAAACACTCTTTTTAAATTTTTTTTCTTTTCAATTTTGTTTCTGTTCATTCTCCCTACCCTTCCCCCACACCACTTCACAGAGATTTTTTTTTTTTTCTTGAGACCTGTCACCTTCCCTGGCTACTCAAATGACTACCACCCTCCTTCTTTCCCGCCTTGGGGGTGGGGGAAATGACAGGCCATAATTGCAGAGGGAAGCACCCCATACCATTTGCTAGAGGGTTAAAGGTTTGGTGATGTTAGTCGGGAAGAGTCTGAAGTCGGGTCCCTCACAACAGGATGTAGGAGAGCCCAGTGCACGCTGCTCTGTGCCCTGTGAAGACTCACAGCAAGCCGCAGAGGGTTCTTGGTTAAGAATGAACCATCCTGGGTGGACACCTCTGGACCCTCAGCCTTGCCTCCACCTTCCCTGTCTCCTTCCCTTCCTCAAAATAGTTCCCTCTTCACTCCCTGAGGACTGGTCACTGGCTGAGAGGCAGTAGTTGGGTGGCTGCCAGGCCAAACAAGCCCAAGGAGATGCATTGCCTTGAATGGAGTGGGGCGCACCCCACCCCCACTTCCATGGGTGGAGAGGGCCAGAGTGAACCTCCCTCCCATCTGGGGAATCTCAGCCCTTGCTAAGCTTTGACCCTAATGTTTAGGCAGCTTTATAGGCCTGGCATCTCTGCAGGGAGGACTGCTTCTCTGTGTGGACTGCAGAAGGAGCACTGGGCCAGGGGTCAGGCCCCAGCTCAGCCTCTCTGGCACTCTGCAGCTGTGGGCAGGCGCCTTCCCCTGGGTCCTAGTCATCCAAGTCTGGGCCTGGAGAATCTGGCCTGCAAGCTCTGAGACTTCCATTTGGGATTTTAGTCTCTGAGCTACAGGGCTCGGAGGCCATCCCCGACAAACTCAGAAGCCAGATTTTCTGGCTGCTCTGTTCCTGGCCACAAAGCAAACTGCAGATGGGCCCCCATGTAATGAATGACCTGGGGCTATAGCAGAGGCCAGAGTCCCAGCCCTTGGGGAGGAACTGAGGTTTGGGGCAAAGGGAAAGAAGCTTAAGAAAGAAGAGATGGAAACGTTACCCGGGCCTGTGACAAAGCACACCCTTTGTTCTTATTTGTCTTCAACCCAGAGGTCTCTAGAGTCCCTAAGGAAGCAGGGAGCAGGTCGAGGGGGCAGGGAAAGACCTCAAATGTATGGTTATTTTGGTTGTTGACCAGTCACAGGCCCTAAGTTCTGGCAATTGCAGAGTGCAGTCTCTGGGAGGTGACAGGAGACCATGAGGGTGGAGGGAGAGCCTGGGGCAGGCGCAGCTGTGACCTTAGTGGCCCCACCGACTCTCCATCCGGCTACTGAGGACCAGCCTCGAGTGATTGTCAGCCAGAGGCATTGAGCTTTCTCAGGCTCAGCCTGGGCTACGGGAAGGAATGAAATCCGAGACCAGGGGTTCAGACTGATGCTTGAGGGGGTCCTTTTCTGGGCAGAAGCTACATCTTTACCATCAGATGGTACCTCTTAGGCCACTAGGTTGCAGACTCTCCAGGAGAGGGGTAGTCTGCCCAAGGTGCATCCTCCCTTCAGCAGAGGCGTAACTTCCCTCCTATCAAATAGGAGGCTGCCCAAGGCCAGGGCTGAGAGTTCCCTATCAGATCAGCCGCTCCCTGGGGCCAGGCCAACCCATCCTCCTGGGCCTGTGGGGACCAGTCTCAGCAGGTGTGACTCACACGGCCTTTCTGGGTGACAGGTAACAAATGGTACAAGCAGCATCTCTCCTACCGCCTGGTGAACTGGCCTGAGCGCCTGCCTGAGCCAGCTGTTCGAGGGGCCGTGCGAGCTGCCTTCCAGTTGTGGAGCAACGTGTCAGCGCTGGAGTTCTGGGAGGCCCCAGCCACGGGCCCTGCTGACATCCGCCTCACCTTCTTCCAAGGGGACCACAATGATGGGCTGGCCAATGCCTTCGACGGCCCAGGTGCTGCCACAAAGTCTCTTTCACACGGCAGGAGGGGCCCCTGGCTAGGATAGGCAGCCTGGGGGTGGCAGAGGAGTTTCCATTCTCCTTGAAACCATGGCCAAGCCAGGTTCTCCCCCCAAAGGACCCTCCATCCCCTCATCTGTAAAAACGGGAACAACAGGCTCTGTCCAAAATGTACCAAATGACTGAAAGGACAGCCAGATAAGGTTTGGTGTGGAAAGCACTTTGGTAACCCTAGAGTGTGCTGGATTTTTGGAAAACATTCTGAGATTCTGTCTACCCCAGCTTCTAGACAGGCCCGTGTTTCTATTGTTCTCCAGAGCAGACTTTATAAAGGTATTTAGACCACCATCAGCCCTCCCCTTCCCTGCCCCCAGACAGCCAGCGCAAGAGGCCTTCACCCTAGCATTCACAGAAGTGCTTCACAGATCCCAGCCACAGCTGCTTCCATTTGTCCCCAGCCTGCAGGCTTCCTCTGCAGTATAATAATGTAAAAGTTCTAAAGAATGAGCACATTCTTCCATTGTGCTCAGCACTGGCCTTGAGACTCTGAATGTGGACCATTTGAGCCCTCCAGGGAGAGCTAAGCAGAGTGGCTAGCACAGGAGACGCAGGAGACGGCTGAAGCACATTCAGGAACCGTGAATTCCTCCTGCATTTGCCAGGCTCTGCCTCCACCTTTGTCAGTCCCTGCTGACCTGGGCTTCGAGAAGGCAAGGCTGGAAGGACCCAGGATGAGGCTTCTAGGCTAACATTATCACAGTGCTGTGTGCTAACCTTAGCGCAGGTGTGTGTGAGCAAGAGGACCTGGAAGCTACACATGTAATAATTTCTGGACGGGCTGTTCACCTGTGAGAACCACTGAGGCCCTTAACTCCCTCTGCTCACTCCTACGATAGCAGGGAGAGAGAGAGGCCCACAGTGGAGCCCTAGTAGAAGACAGGAACAAAGGATATATATGTTTATAAAAAACCATACACATCAGCCAGGTGTGGCGCACACACCTGTGACCCCAGCACTCTGGTGGCCATGAGACTGGAGGGACGGGGCTCAGTGCTGCGTAGTTGTGAAGGCCTGAGTTCAGATTCTCAGCACAGGGTGTGGGGGTGTGGGAGGGCGGAGACAGGAAAATCTCGGGGGCTCAGTGGCCAACCAGTCTAGCAATCTAGCCAAAATAGCAAGCTTTATGTTCAGTGAGAGGCCCCTCTCAAAAAAAACACCATATATATATATATGTACATATACATATACATACATATATATATATATATATATATATATGGAGAAGGCCGAAGAGATCAAAGAGATGGCTCAGTGGTTAAGAGCACCGGCTGCTCTTCCAAGGACCTGAGTTTGATTTTTTATCATCTCAGGGCTGCTCAATTTTTAACTCCAGTTCCAGGGGCTCTGATGCCCCCTTCTGGCCTCTGAGGGTACTAGGCACACATGTTGTAAAGACATACATGCAGGCTTAATACTCATAATAGAATAACAATTTAGTTGAGTGGTAGTGATGCACACTTTTAATTCCAGCACTTGGGAGACAGAGATAGGCAGAGGCCAGCCTGGTTTACATAATGAGTTCCAGGACAGGCAGGGCTACATAGAGACACTCTTTCAAAAAATAATGTAAACGTGTTAAAGGTTAAAAAAAAAAAGTGACTAGGAAAGACTTCCCAACATCAACCTCTGGCCTGTACAGGTGAGCACACCTGCCCCCCCCACACCAGGCCAGCAAATAAGACCCCTGTCCAAAAGAAGTGGGGTGGGCGTGAGATGTCTCAGTGGATGAAGGTGCTTGCTTGCCCTCACTCTCAAGCCTGCATGCAGACTGATCCCCAGAACCCACGTGGTAGAAGATGAGAATTGAGTCCCTCAAGGTGTCTTGTACATGACACACTTGACACACACACACCTTAACCAAAAAACAAACAAAAAACCAAAACCAAACAAAAACAGGGTCCCACTCTGTAGTTCAGGATGGCCTTGAACTCTCTTTGTAGACCAGACTGGCCTGGAACTCGAAGAGATCCATCTGCCTTTGCCTTCTGAGTCCTGGAGGTTAGAACTCACACTGTAGATCAGGTTGGCCTCGAATTCACAAAGATCCACCTGCCTCTGCCTCCCAAGAGCTAGGATTAAAGGCATAGGCCACCACTGCCTGACCCAAAAAAAAATTTTTTTTTAAGAAAATGTGCATACACATAGAAGCACATTGTGTTCAGTCTGCCGACTCCTGAACATAACCCACGAAGGGGGCAGGTCAGGAAACAGCACAAATCCTTACCATCCTTCTAGGGGTAACCGATATTAGTAGTGCCTAGGATAGGCACTGTTCTAAGAATCAAGTGACACACGCTCGTTCCCAGAGATTAAGCTGTCTGCCCAAGATCACACAGTTAGTAAATGGTAAATCTAGCACCTTCGAAGCCTAGGCAGTTTGGCCCCTAGCTGAGTCCACCATGATCTTTCCTTAAGATCCCTTAGACATCTGCTCTCCTGCTGGCACTCCCGCGCCTATCAGACTAGAAAGGGAAGTTAGAAAATCTCTCTCTCTCTCTCTCTCTCTCTCTCTCTCACACACACACACACACACACACACACACACCCCACGTAGGAGCCTGGTGTCTGTGCGAGGGAGCCCCTGGTTCCGGCTTACCATGCCTATTCCGTGCCGCTCGCAGGGGGCGCCCTGGCCCACGCCTTCCTGCCCCGTAGGGGCGAAGCGCATTTCGACCGGGATGAGCGCTGGACCCTGAGCCGCCGCCGCGGGCGCAACTTGTTCGTCGTGCTCGCGCACGAGATTGGCCACACGCTCGGCCTCGCGCACTCGCCCGCTCCACGCGCGCTCATGGCGCCCTACTACAAGAAGCTGGGCCGCGACGCCCTGCTCAGCTGGGACGACGTGCTAGCAGTGCAGAACCTGTATGGTGAGCCCCCAGCCCGCTCCTGACTCTGTGCTTGTCCCCTAGGGTCTCTAGTCTTCGGACTCTGGCTCCTCAAACAGGATCCCCCACCCCATCCCCGTCACTTCCTTGCTTCAATCTTCTCTGTCCTAAAACCTCAGGCACGCTTGAGATCTGAATATCCACAGGCTCTGTGTTTCCCCATTTCTCCATCAGTTCCAAGAAATTCATGAGTGCAAACCTCTGCCCTTAGCTCAGAACCCTTTAGTCTTCCAGTCTCGCGTTATCTCTTTTCTGGGCTGTTGGGTGGGAGAGGAGATTCCTGGATTAGTGCACTCTTGGTGAACACCAAGAACCAGGGCTGCATTCACCCCTCCCCTCTCCTTCCCTGGGTCTCAGATCAAGGGCAGAGCAGACAAAGGGTCTTGAACCCTCCATGCATGTCCACCAATGTCTGCTATCTCTCTTCTTGAATCTTAAGGAAAGCCTCTGGGTCGTTCAGTAGCCACTCAACTCCCCGGGAAGCTATTCACTGACTTTGAGGCCTGGGACCCTCACAGTTCCCGGAGGATACGCCCGGAAACCAGAGGTCCTAAATACTGCCATTCTTCCTTCGATGCCATCACCGTAGGTAAGATGATCCCAACAGTGCCTGGGGTCTTTTTTCCCTTTTTCGCATCTCTAGGGCTCCCATAGCTGAATGACTAGAGAATGGAAGTATCTGGAGTATAGATATCCGGAATCACATGCTGTCCTGGGTGGGGGGGGGGTCAAGCTCAGTCCCAGCTTTGAAATCCTACTTCCCTGAGCCCCCTTGTGCGTCCCACCTTGGGCTTGTCTGCAAAACCGGGTCTAGGGCAGCATCCTCCCCCAAAGTCAGCAGGAGGCCAATGGCCTTTCCTGCCGTCTCTTGTCTGGGGACAGATGGGCAATGGCGGCTGCACGTCTTCAAAGGGAGCCACTTCTGGGAAGTCACAGCGGATGGCAATGTTTCAGAGCCCCGTGCACTACAGAAAAGGTGGCCTGGGCTGCCCCCCAATATTGAGGCTGCTGCAGTGTCATTGGAAGATGGAGACTTCTACTTCTTCAAAGGTATCAGTCCTGAGTCAGCTGAGATTGGGATGCGGCGCCAGGGGTGGGGGTGGGGGTCCTACCCGAAGTGAGGAGAGGGAAGGATCCCCAGCAATGAGTCCCTGGTGGAACTCATTGTTAAACCTGTGGCCCAGGAAAGACTCCTTTCAGGGATGGAGCTGGGAGCAGCAAGTGTCCCGGTGGTCGTCAGGTATAGAAACAGTAGGGGGAGGACTGCTCTCCAGTCTGCAGGTCAGCAGAAAGTCTGGAGGTGTCTGCCCTGCCACCCTGGCTGTGTGAGGCTGGCATGCCGCTTAGCTTTGGGAACTCGCAATTCTTGGATAGGGAAAGCAATGCTCAGGTATGAGGAAGCCGGATAAAAGGCAATGGCTGAAGGGTGGACAGCGCACGATCTGACGTGGTAATACTGCGTTGAACAGCACTCCTTCTACCGGTGCTCAGTGCCTGCGACCTTGGCACAGGGACAGGGAGAGGGAGGGACTGGAGACACTGCCCTCGGGGAATTACTAGTATTCGGGGAGCGATAAAAATTTAAGGCTATTCAATCTTCCCTTTCACTCCCGAGGTAGGGAATCCCGTCTCCACCCACCCCACCCCTACCCTTTTTCTCAACACCCTCCTACCCTCCCCAGCCAGGGATAGACGGATTCTTTCAGTGTCTGCTCTCTGCTGGCACCTGCTGGGAGTCTGGACCATAACCGGTTCCCCTCTTCCGTGTACTCCTTAGTTCTTAGCCACACTATGACTCCAAGGGTAGCTAACAGTCTGTCTGGGGCTCTCAGAAAGAGAAGGAACCAAAGGGACAGAGATGGGGTGGAAAGCCAATGAGTGAGCACCTCCAGCTCACTCTGGTTCTCTCAATGCCCCACAGGGAGTCGATGTTGGAGGTTCCAGGGCACGAAGTCTGTGGGGGGAAACTCACAGCTGTGCCGTGCTAGAGGTCTGCCCCGTCACCCGGACGCAGCTCTCTTCTTCTCGCCTCTGCGCCGCCTTGTCCTCTTCAAGGGCGCCCGCTACTACGTGCTGGCTCGAGGGGCGATGCAAGTGGAGCCCTACTATCCCCGCAGCCTGAGGGACTGGGCCGGGGTCCCTGAGGAGATCAGTGGCGCCCTGCCAAGGCCGGATGGCTCCGTCGTCTTCTTCAGAGATGACCACTACTGGCACCTAGATCAAGCCAAACTGCGGGTAACCAGCTCCGGCCGCTGGGCCACAGAGCTGCCCTGGATGGGCTGTTGGAATGCCAACTCAGGAGGTGCCCTCTTCTGAAGGCTCCCGGTACTGAATGAACGGTTGAACCGTGGTTGCTCGTCCCACCCCACCCCACCCCCACTCCCCGCCTGAGAGGCGGGGCCTGTCTAGGAAGCCCTTGAACGTCGTCGCAGGAACTTCCCAGTAGCACGGCCTCCAGCAGGAAATCTGCATTTATTCCCGTGGTCGAAGGAGAAACAAAAACAGGGTTCCCAGAGCCCTTTCCTTCAAGGACCTCTTTCCTTCCCACTCCTGAGGGGATTCTGTTCCGATGAAGGTTCAGCCCCATGCCCATAGTGCTGAGTCCCCCACCAAAGAGGATGCAAAAACTCAACCGGGTGGGAGGACTGCTCTGCAGAAGCCGCCCTTTCTATGCCTTTCGGGCTCATTTCTTGGGAAATCACGGATTATCCCATCAGAGACTTCACCCTACCTCCCACCACTAGAAAGCTGGGGTGCAGTGAAAGTTCCTCTCCACTGTCAGAGGCCCTTTGTTGGATCAAGAGGCCGAGCAAAAGGGAATGTGGTCCTCCGGACCTGACTTTTTGTCTGGGGTGACGAATAAGCACCCCCAGCTGGTCAGCCTAGAGGCGTAGCAGCCTTCCTTGGACAGAACCTTCCACCCTTCTCAGTAGAAGCAGATGGGTACGGGGTACTTGAGACACAGAGACCATGCTCTCACATCCAACTAGGGGACAGCCGGCTGCGTGTGTATGGTTGTCATGGAGAGAGGGGGTGTACCTCTCTTCGAAACGCAGGCCTTCTTCACGCAGTTTGCCTTCCAGATGACCCGACTTGTGCAGCAGGAAAATGGCCGAGGATCCTTCAGGGTCTGCCCATTGCAGGCACTGGGAATGCAGCCGCCATGCTGCTCCGCAGAACGGATGAGGCCTGTTTGCTCTCAACGGCCCCATTCTCCAGGCCACACACGCAGCAGCGTTCCGAGGCCCATTCTGTCTAGCCAAGAATAGCTGGGATTCCTCAAGAAGGAACCAGCTCCCCAGCTTTCCCCTTTTGTCGGAGCCAGTCTCGGTATTAATTTTAGCATCTGGATCTCCATCCCACCCTGCCTCCTCCTCCACCTACCAACGCCGCTGCGCACACACGGTGACCACCGCGAACCAGCTCTCAGGGACTGGAGAATGATTTGGCAGGGAAGCAGCCTGCAATTCCCTAGAGGCATTGCTGGCCCCGTGCCCTCCTTTCTTCTCTGTGCAGTGGACAAAATGACCTTTGACTGCCCTTAGATGCAAGTGCTTTGTACTGCCCGGTCCTGGGTAGACCACAGAAGAATCTCCCTGCTAGACCCTGCTTTTTGGGTTGTACCCAGGAGAGAGAAAGGAGGGTCCCATTTTTATTACTCCACTCCACTTCAGGTGACTCTAATTGGAGACTTTATTGAGGGGTTAGAGGGAAAGAGGCAACCCCGAAGCTGTTTTTCTTCAAGCAATGCATCTGTTCACCTGGCCAGAAGGACCTAAAAAGATGTCGGTGAGGCTGTATCGGAGGCGTGGATCAGGAGGGTTGTAGGTGCTGGATACAGTCTGGAGAGCAGGGCCTGCTGTAGTTCAGCTAGACAACAGGTGAGACCGTGAACCGACAGTGGACCTTCTCACCGGAAGGAGGAGCTAAGGACGGCGGCTTGAAAGGACAGTTCTGTGAAACGCACTAGAGATAGAAGAGTTTGGAGCTTTGCGGACCCAGAGGCTGAGAGTGGATGCTCTCAGAGCTCCTTGCGGCCTCTCCCTTACCCGGGTCAGGGTGCTCCAGAATACAGTGCTCAATGTAAGCTGGGTGGCTATGCAGGCTCTTGCATTTCTTGCAGAAAAGGATCTCGCAGCGCGCACAGCCCCCGCGGCGCGGTGGACGCCGCCGCGTCTCCAACACGCACGGTTCTTCCGGGGCACCACGCTTCCTACGGGCCGAGGACGTGAGTGCTCAGGGGCCCTGCGGCCCTCCTCCCTAAAGCTCGGCCCCGGGTGTCTGCACCTCACCTGTCCGCGGGGGCCCCAAGGCCACCCAGAAGCGCGAACGGGCTGAGCCAGCCCCAGAAGCTGCTGTCCGAGCGGCGCAGCAGCGCCACCTGCTGGCTGCTCGGCTCCTGGCGCAGAGGGCTGTAGGACACCGAGCGGGCCTCTCGCTCCCTGGCATCGCCATCCTCCTCGACCTCCGCCGTGCTCTCAGGGTCCGGCCTCTCCACCTCCGACGAAGACGAGGAAGACGACGACGACGACGACTTGCCCTCCAGCTCCTCCTCCCTGGCCTCGGGCTCCTCCACCTCCTTCCTCCACAGAGGGGTCTTCACACCTGCAGGCGGGGAGGGAGTCAGTGCAGCCGGCTGTCCTGGCTGCTTGCTGCGGAAGCCTGAATCCAGAATGCGTGGGGGAGATGCCGCCGGACAGATGCTGCCTGCCAAAGGGTTTCGGAGTCCCAGATTCCCGGACTGCTGCTGAGTTCCCTCTCTCCTGAGCTTCCTTGCTAAGGATTCCAAACAAATCACCTCGCTTCCATCATGCTCCATTTTCCCGTCTCTGAAGCGGGAAAAGTAGCACCTACCTCAAGAGTGGTTGTGAGGCTGATTCTAGATAATGTCTGGGTAAAGCACACAGTTTCCTGCTTGCAGTTGTGCAAGCAATCAACGAACATGTATTACCAACACGGAAGGAGGAGGGTTACCCAACGTTAATAAACATCAATTGTCATTTCAATAGGTGGTCGTTTATGGTTGTTTAAACAATCATCACAATCTATTATTATTAATATTAACATTATTATTGAGATACGGTCTCACTGTGTAGCTCTGTCTGACAAGGAAACTCACTATATAAACCAGGCTGACCTGGAACTCACAAATATCTGCCTGCCTCTGCCGCCAGATTTTGACTTTCTGTGGTGGTGGAAGTCCAGTGTCACGGGAGACTGGCTGAATAGGCATAACTAACTAAACCCGAAACTGTTCTCAGGCTTGGCCAATTGCAAGTGGATTTCAGCCACATGCCCCCCTCTCTAACTGACAGACAGACATCATAACTGCAAGTAAGTCAGGACCTGAAGCAAGTTCCTGGGCTGAAACTAAGCAGGTCTTCTCCAGAGATAGCCATTCCATCAGCACATAGGCAGCCCCAAGACAGCTAGACTTACATTGCAAAGAAGGGGGCAGCACTTGAGGTTTGCCCTGGAAAGGTCAAAGGACAATTTCTATAGACCACTGTCCATCTTTTCCCCAAGTTAGGAATGGAATAGAATGATAACAGTGAACAAGAAGGTGTGTGTGTGTGTGTGTGTGTGTGCGCGTGTGCGTGTGTGCGTGTGCGTGTGTTGGGCACTGTGTTGGTTAATCTTAACTGTTTAAATTGACACAATCAAAAACACCTAAGAGTTTGTGTGAAGGGGTTTCTAGGTTGGTTTAACTGCTGTGGGAAGACCCGCCCTGAATACAAGCTGGCAGCCGAGCTGCTGCGGTGCTTACACTTACACCAAGGCCAGAGAAGATAAGGGGGAGCGAGGTCTGAACAGGAACAAGTGAAGATAAGAGAACTGATGGTAGAGGATAAGAATATTTAGGAAGGGCAAAGCAGAGGGCTTGTAACAAAACAACATGAATGAGGAACTGAGAAAAGGTCCAGGTTTTCTAATGTCACCATGGTGATGGGCTAGTTGGTCCAAGATGGATCAAGTGGTCCTATCTCGGTTTGCACCCTTTCTAGCCCCACTCACCATGCTTATCCATTCTTGGTAATGGAGTTACTGTCTGTTCCCTCTGGTCAGGGACTGGGATGTAAAGGATGCCCAGTACCTATAGAACTCCATATGGTTTCCAGGACCTCTGTTGGATCATAGGGGGTGGGGTTAGAACCTCAGCTGCCCATAGGGCTCTGCTTAAGGACCGATGCCTTTTCCAGAATCTCCAGACTCAAAACTCTCATGTTCCCTACCTTGTTGCAAGGAAGAGTCCAATGGAGAATAGAGGATGGCTTTGGCCCCAGATTGACTGGGTTCAAATCCCGGATCTACTACATAAATATAAAACCTGTCAGACCTTCAGCAAAAACCATTTTAACAGGAACAGTTGAGTTAGGCCATTGCTGGGGGTGAAGCCTACATGTGGGCACCAGGAGTTAGCTCCTTGAGTCATAAGGCCCAGTACCCCTTGGCAGGCACACCCGAACCAACAAACCCAGCCTGTGACTTAGGCAACATCCTACTAAGACACAAATGTTCCAAGGCCCAGTTGTTCATCCCGCCTGCCTCCCCAGGCCCAATCTACCCAACAGTTCTTTGTCCTTCATTTTTCTCAGGGTAATTCTGGGGTTTATGGAATTTTAATGTATGTGGGGGTGGGGTTGAAGAGATGGCTCAGTCATTAAGAGGTTGCCCTTGTTTTGTGTGTTTTGGTTGCTTTTTGTTGTTGTTGTTTTGTTTTTGTTTTTGTTTTTTTGAGACAGGATTTCTCTGTAGTTTTTTGGTGCCTGTCCTGGAACTAGCTCTTGTAGACCAGACTGGCCTCGAACTCACAGAGATCCACCTGCTTCTGCCTCCCTAGTGCTGGGATTAAAGGTGTGCGCCACCACAGCCCAGCGAGTCCTTGTTGTTTTGCAGAGGACCCTGTTTGGTTCCCAGCACTCACATGGTGGCTCACAATGATCTACAACTGCAGTTCTAGGGGATCCGGTGCCACCTTGTGGCCTCTGCAGCATCAGGCACGCATGTGGTGCATGGCACATACATGCAGGCAAAATACTTACACATAAGCTAAAAATAAATCTTTTTAAAAATGTAGAGTGTCATAAAAACAACACTAGCAAAAAAAATCATGTTAGGACTTGTTCTCAGAATAAAAATGGTATTCAGTGAAAACATATAAGCAAGCAATCTTACCAGAATGTGGGGTGCATGTCTCTCCCATTCAAGTGCCACTCAGAAGCCCCCTGGAGAGGAGACCCCCACTGGGAATGAGTAAAAACTTGGAATAAGCTGATCTCCATCCAAAGAGGGAAAGGAATGAGCTGCATTTATTGGCAAGCACCCTGTTACTTCCTGCTGTTCATAGAGTTTGTTATGCCCAAAGAGCAAGGTGAGGCACACCTGTGATTCCAGCATGGGGGAGTCTGAGACAGAACTGATTGTGAGTTTGAGGCCAGCCTGGGCTTATATATGAGACTCTGGGGTGTGTGTGTGTGTGTGTGTGTGTGAGAGAGAGAGAGAGAGAGAGAGAGAGAGAGAGAGAGAGAGAATAGGCGGGTGCAATATCTTACTTGGTAATACAGATTGCCTCTGTTGTGGCCATCTGGAACATCCTTGCTTGTGCAGAGAAAGGGAGTGAGGCTTTGGAAGGTTACACATACATCAGCTAAAATGTATCTGGTTGGTCAGAGATTAAAATGGCTAACTAGTAATGGGTCCAAACTTCATACCACTTATTCACTCAACAAGCCGAAGGTAGGGGATGTAGGACTGGTTTAGTACCCTGGTGATGTGCTAATACCTACAGGCATCATCAGACTCTATGGCTTGTGCTGAGAACTCTCTGGAAATAGAAAACCCTCTGTCACCAAAACTGAAGCCCCTTCTTCTGCCATAGGCTGGCATGGGTGCCAGAGACTGCCTCCTCTTTTCCCTTTCCCTTCTCTTCCCTTCCCTTCCCTTCCCTTCTCTATCCCTTCCCTTCCTTTCCCTATCCCTCCCTTTTCTACCCCTCAGCTGACCAGCCACGGGCCTATCTTTCTGTGCTCCAATCCAGGCATTTCCTCAGATTCAGATTACACTGAATTCTGGGGGAATCACCTGTTCCTTCTATAGTCTCTAGGAACCTGCTAGGCTTCCTTCCCTAACCCGTTTACTTTCTAAGAGGACCCACTGAGCAAAATCTGAGCCATCATCTCTCAATCCTCCAGATACAAGTGACCCTGGGGAAAAAAGCACACACTCCCTAGTCAAAGGCCCAGAAGGCCTGTGATTTCAGCACAGCCGGCTGTCCCTGTTCTTAAGTCACCTGCAAGCTGGTCCCGAGGATAGGTGGAAGTGCATGTGGCTTCTAGGGGGAGACTGGGAAAAGGATTCAGGACAAGACCAGTCTCCTGGACTTGAAGGATGTGTGTGCATATCCATAGGGGTTTTCGCCATCAGCAACAGAAGTGGGCCTGGCTAAAGCTGGAAAAGGAGTTTTCAGGTTATGGGAAAGTCAGTGGAGGTTATGGGAGAGTGCGTAGACCCACCAATCAGCTGGAAAGCAGGAGAGTTTGGGGCCTGACATCACAGCTAAATTTCTACCACAGAACACGAATTGTGAAGCATTGCATCTCTGGCCCCCGAATTCAGGTGGACATGCCATCACGGCGGCCCTAAGGATGAGTTCTTCACTGCTTCTGGGTACCACTGGCCCCATTTCATGAGTCTCATTGATTCCAGCCAAGGTCGCATACTCATGAGCCAACCAAAAGGGACTCCCAAAGATGGAACCAGGTGCCTTCTGGGTAGGGGAGGCACCACAGAAGCATGCAGCCTCCTGGTCCAGGCTGTGAGATTCATGGCTCTTTCCAGTTGCTTGTTCATGGGCAGGAAGAACCCTACTTTGTCCACTAGCAGACTTGTGATTTCCAAGGTCATTTTGGTTGTAAGTGACAGCAGACCAACTCACACTAACAAGGTATTCCTTTGTCACAGATGGAGGTCTGGGTCTTAATCCCCATTTCTATGTATCAACATATCCATTGACCTAAGGAAAGCATAAACATTGACTCTCCCATTTCTTTATTTTTTTAAATACAAGATTTATTTAGTTAGTTAGTTAGTTTGGTTGGTTTTTCAAGACAGGGTTTCCCTGTGTAGCCCTGGTTGTCCTAGAGCTAGCTCTGTAAACCAAACTTGCCTCAAACTCAGAGATTCACCTGCCTCTGCCTCCTGAGTGGTGGCATTTAAGGTGTTTACCACCACTGATCAACTAAATTTATTTATTTTTCTTTTATATACATGAGCGCTTTGCCTAAATGTACATCTATACACCATATGCAGGCTTGGGGTGCCAATGAAGGCCAGAAGAGGGTATTGGGCCCTCTTGGAGTTATGGATGGTTGTAAGCCAACATGTGGGTTCTGGGAACCAGACCAGGTCCTCTACAAGAGTGACAAGTGCTCTTAACCGCTGAGCCACCTCTCTGGTCCTCTAATTTCTTTCTTAAAACCCAACTCACATTTTATTTGCATTGTTAAGTCTTTGGGCTGGAACGCAAGTCTACCCAACTCCCTTTCAGACCTTACTAAATCTCTACCTCAGTTCTCTGCTGTTTTATGTGTAGGTTTAAACCTCTGAGGAAGGGCCAGAAAGATGACTCATGGTGCAGGGGTAAGAGAGCCTTTGGCCAAACCTGGGGACCTGAGTTGGATCCTAGGGCCCACATGTGGATGAATAGAAATGACCCCTGCAAGCTGCCCTCTGACATCTGTATGTACACACCACATTTGCACACATGCACGTGCATACACTCACACACACATGCACACACACACACACACACAAATAGATACATAGATAAGTAAATGATGAAAAAAAGTTAATTTTATTTTTCTGGAGTTAAGGAGTGCAGCTGGGTGGTCAGGCATTTGCCTGGCATGTATGAGATCCTAAATTCAGTCTCTATAATAAATCATATCCTATCCAATATGATACTAAAGTAAAAATTGTGTTTAATTTAAAAAGACTAAAGAGTTTT